GGGGGGCGGGTAATAGAACCATACCGCCAATCCAAACTGTATGCTAATTGTCAATCATCTTTGACGATAGTGGTCCTGACAGAACCTTTAGAATTGGTAACACCAGCTTGCTTGCAATAAATTTTACTTAGCCTACCATTTATAATACACAATAAATTTAGATTTATATTAAAAATAAATTGTCCCCACACGCATGCAAGTTAATCAACATTAAATTTATAAAATATACAAAATATTATAATATTGTATACACAATATACAACAATGTATAAAATAATCAATTGTTTCTGGTTTAACAATTTTAGCACATTTTATAAATGTATTATAAATGGGAAAGTTAAAAAGAGAAATTCTGTTAAACACTTAATATTTAAAAAATTATTACAAAATACAATTAAAAGTTTTAGATGACAAATTTCCATTAAAAAAAAATGATTTAATCAATTTAACAGCATTATACAGTATGTGCTGAGATTCATCGCTTACTTTTGCCAAAGAAACAGGCCAAACATCAACAGCAATGATATCACGTCAGCCGAGACCCATATTCCCATGTACATATTAGGCTCCTTTCATTGTTATGTGCAAAGAGAGATACACAAACACACAAAGGATTCCAGAGGAGTTACATATTCAGACAAGCCCACGTGAATTAGAAATGGAGAACATCTCATTTATGGCAGAATAGACAAGGATAGGTGAAAAGATAGGCTGAGCTTTACCAGATGCCAGTCAGGCTTAGACATGCTTTTGAGGATGTGACAAGCATTGGTGGTCACTGAACTGGCCCCGGAGCACCACAGTAATGAGAAGAGCCAGCGCTCATTCACAACCCACAGATTCACGGACACATTATTTTTCCGCAACTCACTGCCGTGAAAAAAAAAAAAAAAAAGTTAAAATAAAAAACAAACTCAAATCTTCCTTCTGTTTACTTGTTTTTGGCTCAGAGTCAGCGACCTTTAGACAGATCGCAACAAGCCAGTTTTCTCTGCATAAAATACAGGAGTGGCAGGACCGTTTTAACATGCAGTCTTATTCATCAGTCAAGATTTTCTCGTTTAATTGTATTCTTTCTTCATCTTTGCTGTCAGGTAAAATTATAAAATGACAGGTGCACCCAACCGGACACAATAGTGTCTGGAAAAGGTTTCATTAATCATCATGTGTTGAATTTTGATCACTCAGCATTCCTGCTACTATAATCATTAGAAGATACATTAGTTTAAGTTTAAACCACAGATCGGCACATCATTTTTCATAGCATTTCTGTCATCTTTGTAAGAAAATAGAACCCTGTGAGAACGTTCCCCAAGGCTGTTGGATCATACCAACATTAATGACAGCAGCATCGTGTCTCTGCATGTCAGATAAAATGCACCAATCCTCCTACACTTACCTTATTTCATGTGTGCTTAGAAAACTATATTTCATGTTCAGGAAGCTTCCACCATCCGCATACATTTCTTGTACATTATTATACACCTGCTTTAAGCCTGGTGTAACTTTTCTTACATCGTGTCTATATTCTGTAGGAAGCCACCATATCTGAAAGTGATACACAATATTAAAATGATATGCTTTTTTCTAGGGCATATAACATTGTAACATTAAACTCAAAAACACTTTAACAAAAATTTAATAATGTAACAAAAAAGGTCAATAGAAATATTTAAAAACAACAATAATAATAAAAGTGAAAAAGTACATAAAACTTATGCTAAACTGAAACAAAAAATGAAAACTGAAAATATAAAAATAAAAGCTCATTCAAAATATTAATACTGCAATAGTATATACTGTAAATAATACTAAAATAACACTGCTAAAAACAAAATGTTTTAGGATTCTGACATTTAAAACAAAGGGGGACAAAAATGAAAAGGGGGCATACCAAGAAACTTCTGAAAATGTAATTCTATTAAATTTAAAGATTTTTGGATCCCACCATATAACAATATTACCTTGTCCGGTGAGATGCCTGATTTTTCTATCGTTTCAGCGGTGTAGTAGGAGTCGCTGTTGTGGAATCCTGTCGAGTTTTTCTCATTTTTTAGGTCAAATATGAGAGAGACATTATGCTTTTTGGCCATGACTAAGAGCTCCGAAAGAGACGGTACACTCTGGTTGTTAGCCTCCCTCTTCTCTTCCTTTGAGAGCGATGAAACTGACTGAAATGGATCTGTCTGTATTTGAAAATCAAAAGATCTCATTTTAAACAAATTTGTCGTTTTGACATCACAGTGCTGAAGGACTAAGAACATCTGAACCTCAAATGCAAAGTGGAAGAATTTTTTGTTTTCTGCTCAATATCTGCTCATACTGGATAAAGCTGCAACCTCAGTTTAGTTCAAGGTTGTTTGCTCTAATCAACAGATACTCCTTCTCATGTTGCCCGTGAGATATGAAGAACTTGTGCAGCTTGATCTAGTTTGCATTGTGCAACTCCACAAGCTGTCAACAATTTCATAATATAATATATGTTATTATATGTGTAATAAGTGTTATTGCCAATTGTTAAATTTCAATGCATTTTACATTTGTATTTCTATTCTACTGTTGCATAAAAGGAATTACTGTCAAATAAAATACAGATGTTACGAATATATAATTATATTATATTTATCTATTGTTGTATAACAGAAATTGTATCAAAATGCATCAAATTTGTTGGACTATATATATAAGCTATAGAGAATGGAAAACTTACATTTAATAAACTATCAATAAATAAATACATAAAATAATTACAAACAAAATTCCAAAAATAATTCTTTGTCCTTACCCTTACAAACCATTCGCCTGCATTTAAAGTCTGTAATGCTTGCAAAGTGAAGTTAGCGTGCATGTCGGCATCTCGACCTAGAAATTTCTCCTTCACATCAGTTGTTCGTAGCAGAAAACTTGGACCATTGTCATGCATAAGAAAAGGCTTCATGTCCTTACTGAAAAAAATGATAGACAAGAGGAGAATAATGTGTGTGTGTGTGTGTGTGTGTGTGTGTGTCTCACACACAAATAGAAGCAATTGTCTAGTGTTTCGGCATAATCTGTTACCTGAGTTGCACATCTGTTTCAAATGCTACAACGCCACACTCCATACTCTTCCTGAATGACAACATGGTGTTTTCTGGTGCCAGCTAAATACATAATTAACATATATTATAAAACAATTATATACATGTAGTACATAGTATATACACAAAATAAGATAAAAGTTGTGATTTTCTGTGCTATCACAGCATAAGCATATTTCATTATTTTACTTATTAACAATATGTGTTCTTAATTATATGTTCTGGGCTTGTTACCACTGGGGAAAAAAACTATATAATAAAAAAAAATCACTTTTTTGCCAGACACCATTATTTTACTACATAAATATGTTCAGGGTTCCATATCTTATTTAAAGTCGAGTCAAGTCAGGTCACCTTTATTTGTATAGCGCTTAATACCATACTGGTTGTGAACAAAACAAAATTCAAAAGCTGTAACATCTGTGTTCTTCACACGCCTCTGTTTTTATTCAGTTAACCTTAAGTCTCCTGGGGAGCGCTGGGAGATCAAACATACAGAGCTTCAGATGTCAAAACACCTCCTCCGCCCTCCCTGCCATTGGAATTTAACAGGTTGTATATGAATTGTAGACAGTCAGTTATTCAAATGGTATTTCTGGATGTTTTGTAAGGACTGTAAATGTTTTCACTGTGATTATTATATCTATAAAATGCTAATGTTTGAAAAAATCTGAGCAGACTGACATGCTAATGAATTACATTCCACCAAGTTGATAGCTTACAACCTGGGAACGATGCCATAATCATCATAATCCTAAACGGATTCAGAAGCTACAGCAGATGATTCATCTTGTGGCATGTCAAATTCATTCTAATAAAATAACGTTAAAATCCTCATGCAATTCAGCAATAACAGGAACAAACAGCAAAAACAAGATTTTGATGGGCACGCCAGTGTAAACACTTTTTAACAAAGGGAAGGAATGTCAAAAGGAAAGTTACAACTAAGGCGTTAACACTTACCATTGGAGCACCGCGATGTCCAACGAGGGCAGGTTTTGGGGGAAGATTATTGGCAATGCATGGAGAGCAGATTGCAAGAGGACACAGGAACACAGCAGCGGACACTACCAGGAAGGTCAGCATTATAAAAACCTTACTAGCTACACAGACAAAGACATAACAATATTCAGACACTTAGTACAAACACTGACATAATTGTAGAAATAAAGCATTATTAAAGGCATCACTGGTGCTAACTTTCACATTTACATAGACTGGTAATATTCAAGTTGTAAAGTTCATTCTCAGTCAAAAACATTAATTGTGATCTGATCAGCTCCTGATGAACAAAATCAAGTCCCAACCCGCAATTTTTCTCATTTGAAAATCTCACTCATATATACACGTCACAATAGGGAAGATCTGCGATTCATGCAGACTTTAAGTATTAATATTATAAGAGTACTTCATATATTATAAAGTAATATTATCATATATCATATAATATTACTGTAATAAGCTGAATATTTTTGTACATTGTCATTTTTAGCGTAAGCTTTAAGATAATATACAGGTCAAATTCTAAAATTATTTAATTTAAATCCATTTTTAATGTCTATGTTTTTATCTGTTTGGTGAATAGCAATGTAATAAGCAAGATAATGTGCAGTCAGAAAATGTTCAACTTTAAGGTACAATAAGCTGTTTTGGAGGCACTGACCAGCTGTTTGAGCTGTATGATAACCCTGGAACACCAGCCAACTGATCAAGGTCAAAGCCACCACAGCACCCAGCTGCAGGAAAGGAGCAGTGGCCTATGGGAAACAAAAGAGCGGATTTTAATACACTGTACAGTACAACAATAATGGTGTAACTGGAGATATGGGCACCTGAGTGACATTTTTGTGATAAATACAGTATAATATAACATTAAGCTGAGGGATATGCTCGCTATTGGTGTAAAATATCACACTGCCAGTTAGACTAGTTAAGCTAACAGGAAATACAATGAGAACCAGCTGCAAAGACATAAAAGACAGACAATGTACCAATACTGAAATGATGAATGGTTGAAGGCTGGTTTCGGCTTCTTACCTGAAATGACATATAAACAGTTTGCCATTCCTCTATCCATTCTTTACAAAATCCAGCTGTGCCTAAAGTAACAGTGAGCAGACCCAAAAACAGAAACACCTGAACAGAGAACAGAGAATTATTAACATACCGAGATCATTCATTAACAAGCTGTGAACTTTCTTCCTTTATGCACTATGACAAAAAAAAAAAATGATATAAATTGTTACCAAAGTTTTAAAGGTACCCAATATGAGACTGTTTTCTCAACTATGAGCACTGAGGTCTTTTTAAAGCTAATTTTATAGTCAGCTTTTTATGTATCCTAATGCATACATTTACATAACATTAAGCTTAACAAGTAACTTTTCAAATAAATTTATTATGGGCAAAATTGTTTTCACTGTGGTGAAAATGAGTTGTGGAACAGCCATACTTGTGTTAAAAAAAAGTAAAATTGTATATGAAAATATTAAAACTTGATTCACTCTTTTTGGGTTTTCATAGTTTTAAAATGATTGTTTTAATTATATTTTCATAATTGACTTTAAGATGGACAGCCTGTGTCTGGGACAGGGGCGTTTCCTCCGAGGAGGCAAGGGAGGCATGCCTCCTCAAAATATTGGATGAGAACAAAATTCGTAGTACAAAAATGAAAATGACAATTATGAAAATTAACAAGTTAACTATTAAAAAGAATAGCTGAACATGAGTTCACAAATAAAATATATTGCTTAAACTGTTACTGCCTTGAGTTATTATTTTGGAATAAATGTAAAATGCTTAAAAACATAGTAGATTCATACTTGGCATTAATAAATAGAATATTGATTACAATGTTAATGTCAAAATATAAATATAAAAAATGTTATATACCATACCACTGCTATACATAAAATAATCTATACATAGAAGGCATTTAAGTAGTAGCAAAAATACATTTGAAAAATTATTTAAAAATGAATTAATTTTAAAAAGTCTCAATGCAATTTCAAGTTGAAAGGGTAAAGAGTACCTTATGCAGCCAGTGTAAATCCAAGGGCTCTCTGACTGCTAAGTGTAGCAATCCAAATACCTGAAATAAAAGAATGAACTCATTGGTACAACCATTACATGCTACCAGCCATACAACCAACTGGATCACATTTTCTCTTCTTACCAGTAGAAGGAGGCAGTATGTGGCCAGCACGGCAGAAACGACCATCACTATCATGTACCAGTTCACCCATTTTTTTAATGTTTTGAAGGCATGCCTGTGTGAAGAAAATGAAGCAATATGGCAGAATGACACAACCAGGTATTACATGTAAACTTGGAAACACTGGGCCAATGGATTTACAATGTGGTCATATAATTATCATGCATGTAATTGTGTTTATGTGCTCACCAGTTTACATCATTGTGGTCGTTGAAGGCAATGAAACAAACGTACATCCAACTCAGGGCAAGTATGGACACAAAAGACAGAAAGGAGAGCCAGCAGCAAGCCCTCTATATATAAACAAAGCAAGAATGCACACTTCAAACATCTCTTTTCTTTTTCATTCAGGTCTTCTCTTTGTCATATTTACTGACACTAACAAATGCATCAGCACTAAAAAGAAGAAAAAGTGTATTTATAACTTTCCCTCACTGCTACACCTTTGTGCTTGTGATGATTTAAAGTCATAGGTTAACCACAAATGGGTTAATTGGGGGAGGGGGGTGGGGGGGTTAATTGTTACCGCTCTGAATGCAGCGGTAATTGTTTCTGACACAAATCAAAAGAATTCAGAGCCTTGCTTTTGTATTCAGGCTACTAATTAACATACTTTTCTGCCTGTCATGATCATCAGTCTTCACAGCTTTGTACTCATTTAAAAGGAAAGAGCATTTACATGATAATTGTTCATTTAGGAGGCATTCAATGACACCAATTTTCTGTGATTCTTTTCTACATTTATTAGACATGGTAAACTATTCCGCCTCTCTCAACTGATTGTGTCTGCAGATTCTAAGAGATAACGGGTACATCATTGATGTGCAACTCCATTTTCCAATGTGGAAAAATGTGATTAAAAAGGCAAAGTGTAAAGAATAAAATCCCACATTTGGTCTTCTATTTTGACTGTTCCAATGACAGCTGTAGATTCCCCTGAGGCAGGTTCGGGAGATCGAGAGCATCGTGTTTTTTCCGCGTCAAATGATTCCAGCTGAATGTATGCAGATGAATGGGGGTCTCGTCCGGTACGTAGTGAGGTTAACTCATTTATACTGCAGGTGTTTGATAAGGAATGACTCACTTCTTCACACCTGAAACTAGTAGGAGGGAAGAGAATACAAGATGGTGGTTATGCAAGGAAACCTGTTCGTTTTGCTCAAAACAGAACTGAGCTCACAATGCCTGGTTTAGTTAGTTAAAAGTCCTTGAATTAGGGTGAGAGAGAGAGAAATATAGGCGGTGTGACTCCAGTCACATGACACAACAGGTATGGAAAGGTTACATTTAATTATGGAGGAGTGTCTATGCTTTCAAAAGCCCTGAAGCAGAAAACTACAAGACAACCTGTGGGAAAGATCTCATATCAATCACTCATTTCTAATAAAAGGACAGAATGTTCTTTCCCAACTCAAGTTAACTGCTACTGTTGTGTAAATGATAAATATGTATTAAAATATAACCTGTTTCACTACATCCTATAATCAAATGTTGCCTGATGGAACAGTAATTTGAGTGTCTTACTGTAAATTGTATGAACAACTGACATGAGATATTAAAGCTTATTCTGAGCAAGTAAAAAGGCCTTGCCCCTGTTTTGACAGGTTGTGCATAACATGAAATATAATCTGCAATGTTATGAAGACTTTCTTCCTGTGGAGGTTAATTTGTATTTATTTATTTATTTTATGTTTTCCAGGTTCAATGCTGGACACAGGAATAAATAACATTTTAAAATATATTCAATTAGAAATTAGTTAAATTTGTGTGGATAATTCTGCAGTGGCAACCCCTAACGAGAGCAACCGAAGGAGAAAAAGGTCTTTTGGATCAAATAAATGCAGCTTTGCTAAGCATAAGAGACACAATATGTCCATTAGTGCTTCTCAAATGTCCACAAAGCCTCAATAATGGCCAAATTTGTACAATTTCTTTGTTTTGTAAAAGGAAAGCTGACAATAACACTTCTTGTCACCAGATCTTGATTTAACAAATCTTCACTCAGCAAAACTATCAATACAATTATCATAAATTCAGAAATATAAAAGTATAAAATGTTCATTTTAAAGCTCGAGGTATTCACTATTACTTCAATGTGTTATACTGTCTGTCAACCAGGTAAACACCACTAGTGTGTAAAAGTTACATTATCAAAAAGCCTGTGCTGGCGGTGGAAGGTGATGTTATGTCAGCCATAACTAAACATCCCCCATGCAAGTACTTGGGAACTGTCAGATCTGAGTCACTGATAAAAAGTTTAGATAATAAACCATATATTCCAGCATGAAGGATACACACCTATCTAAAAGCATGACCGTCTACTTGAAATTTGAAAGTACCATCACACATTGTAACCATTGCTGTGTACAGCAGTTTCTTTTAAAGAACATAGCATTTTTTGTTAACGGTGACACGTACCGTTGACAGGTCAGACAACAAGTACTTTGTCAACTGCAGCTCATATTTGTGAATAAATGGCCTGCTGGCCTTAAGCCATCGTCCTAATTCAACAGGTTGTACGACACTAATTAGTCCAATGCAGGACGGTTTTTATAAAGGATGACATTTTCTCAACATCACACCAACTGCTCTTTTGTCATGTTTATAGCCTGAGTTTGGATTTGTTTTTAAGGGGTCTTTTTTTTCCGTATGAATTGATCTCTTGGAATTATTGTTATTATTTAAAGGGTCGTGCAAAAGCATTTCTTACTTTCTAAAACAGCTATAGCAAAATTTCATGAATTTTCTCTTGGGTGTATGTTAATTTATTAGGGACCAATAAAATACATTTATAAATGCTTTATAACATTTATTAAAATATATTTGAAACATGTAGGACTGGTAAGCCAAACAAAGAGAGTTACAGAGGAGCTGGCACCCAGATTTTGCAGAAGAAGCTAATTTTTCTGATCTCAAAAACAGAGCCATATCATTACAAATAAATTATGTTCTACAGGGTCAACAGATATGAGTGCTACACAATGTTTTTACCCCTGCGCAGACTTCCAAAAGAATCTATACCCCATTTTAAATAAGGTCAAAAAAGAAATCAGGTTTGCATGTAGACAAACTACACATTCTTTTCACAGACATTGTGAACTTAGTAAAACACAGAAGCCCATCAATAGCATTACAACTTCAGTAAATCCACTCCATCATCAGGCTTTCACTGTATGTGTTCATACTATTAGAAAGCAAAACTTTGACTGACGAAAAGTGCCGCAAAAACAAACATCACACTTTTGAAAACTGTAATAGGCTATTTAACTCATCACACATGTAGGTACCACTTTTATTGAAGCATTTCAGAATAAGCATAGGAATGTTTTTATTTCAAGAAATGTTAATTTGGAAAAACAAATATGGTTAAGAAAGGAAAATAAAAGCAGACTATGCAAAACTATGTAAAACCACACATAAATCAAACGGCCAAGTCAATGCACATGTTGTAGAGCACAGTGCATGTGACTTCTTGTGAAGTAAAAGTAACCAGTTGAAGATCATTTTCATGAAACCTCTGAATTTCACTTTCTTCATTAAACTATAAAGACTGTGATACAAAAGTATTTGCCCATGCATTTTCATAGAACATACAATATTTCAAAAAACATATGAACTGCCTCATCTTTCTGATGTCACACATTCTTTATGAAAGCATTTAAGTATCATCATGTTGACTGCGAGAGATTTCAACCCAGCTAATTCACATGCAACCTCAGATCTTGATCTGCAGTTCAGTGACACCATGGGACATTTTTGTGTCATTTTTTCAGGGTACTAAAATATTGTTAAGGTTCAATTTAGTTTAAAACAACGACCTCAAAGAGACACATTTCTCAGCAGATCTGCAACAGCCTATAACTAATTTTTGAAATAATTTCTAAATCCACGTAAACGTTTAGCATAAACAGTTTTCCCTTAAACATGGTTAAACCTCATGATAATCCGTGATTTGCAAAAATTCAGAACTTTTGTTTTTGTACAAATGTGCATTGTTATGGCTTACCTAAATCATCAGGATGCTATTAGCACCTGTAATGACACGTACACCGGACGATATTCAGCTCGCACGCCTTTCAGTAATATTAGATCAGAACAGATCTAACCAGAGAGAGCGAACTGATTTTTCAGTTGGCACCTTACCTTGCTTAAAAAGTAACATTTGATATTGAAGTCCCAGGCAGATTGTCAAACTTCAGCACTTCTCGGCAGTCTGTGCACTCGAACTCATGCTGAGACTTAAATCTCGTGGACTGAGTAGCAATGAGGCGTTAACAATGAATGAGCGAGCTTCTCAGTCCTTGCAGTTTTGTATGCATGGACCAGCACCAAATGCACCTCCACACGTGTTCAGCAGAGGGCACTCAGAGAGATGCAATCAAAGAGTTTTCGGATAATTGGGAACCTTAAAAGAGTAACCATTTCAATTTGTTAAAAGCAAGAGATGCCTGACAGATACATACTCTCCTATAATATAATACAGCGACTGTAAATGCATTATATTTTGCTTACACAAACAGCTGTGAAAGCAAAGTGCACCGTCATCACGTCAAACCAGATACATTTGCGTATTTGTAAATGTTTAAATAATAAAGTAAAAGAGGTTACATTTAAAATTGTGCATGGTATATATCCAGCTAAAAGTGTGTTAGAGAGATTTAATTTGGATATTGATTATTCCTGTGATTTTTGTTCAATGGAAAAGGAGTCTATTGTCAATCTGTTTCTGATTTTCTGATCTGATCAGATTTTTTTTTTTTTGTGGATGGGAAATTTCATTCGAATGAAAACAAATATGATTTTCAAGTTAAACAATTTTGATATATGTATGCATTATTCTGGTGAAAGTAATAATAATAACTTTACTGGTCTCTTACAACTTTTTATTATTTGGTGAAAATTTCACATACATAGAAGAAATGGCCAGGAATCAGGATCAAAGCCAAGGGGGAGGACTACTGCACCAGTTTGGAGAGTATTGTTAATAAAAGAGCAAAGAAGACTTGTAATATTTTTCACAAATTTGCAGTTTTTGATTAATGAATCAATGCTTTGTACACTCCGGTGTCCTGAAATTTTATGTAGCTTACATTTCTGTATACTGTTGTATATTTTGTTCTGGTTAATAATAAAAAAGAGCACCTGGTTTAAGTTTTTAGTTAAAGGAAAAAAGGAGCCTCTGGTATAATCTTACCAATGTTTTAATGTAATAATAATATAGCCTACATGAGGCTAATAAAACATATAATAATTTACCATTTATAGAAAATTAATTTAATATGATTTATATAATAAGATCTCTGCACATACGTGCTCGCCTTTTTCCCTCTTTATTTACATTAGCATAAAAAAATTATAGGAATGTATAGCCTACATAAATATGTATAGCCTAAGGAGCAAATACAAAATCAGAAGTAATGAGGGAAAAAATGACAAAAAATGAAATTTAAATAAATTGATAAAAATAAAACAAATGTAATATACTAAATTACAGATAAAGTTCTGTGTTACTGAAAGAGTTTCCATAGCCGATTGCTCTTGAGGCCAGTAACGCAAACAAAATGTATTGTAAATGTTATATTTATAAAGTGTGAAGATTTAGATTTTGGATTTTTCGTTTTCTAATAAGCATGGACCTTCAAAGTAGGTTATAACAAGATATTGTATATTTCTTAATGTTTTGTTTTATCAAAATGTGACATTCAAGTCTTTCCAAGCAGAGGTAGAGTATAAGGACAAAAAGAACAAGTGTTTATTTTCAGTTGAAGTATTAGGTGATTGCCAGTGTCACTTAACCTAGTTAATTATTTCTCGTTTCTACAGTACATTTACAGTATAAGCTGATAAACCGAAGCCACTGTTTCTGTTTTTGCTACTGTTTCTGTTTTTTTTGTGTTTTTTCTCGGAGTAGGTTAATATTTGAAAGCCTGATTAGGCACATACCTGAACGTCTTGCCTACAAAACGCTACTGAACACATCCTTCAAGTCTTTTTTTATTAAATGGAAAGAAACATAGCCTATGGAGGACGAAACCTGCAAAAACAATAAATATATAAATAAATACACAAATAAATAAATAAATAAATGTGTGCATAAATACACGTATTCTTGTTTAAATACATAAATAAATAATTATACATGTGATGAAAGTAGGCAAATAAATAATATAAATTGGTGGGCAAATGGAAAATGTTTAAGGAAGTGCCAAACTCATCCTAACTGTTTTCCTTTGATCACTCGTTTATTTCTGAATGTAGTTCCACTTTTTTTCCCTCTGCGCGACATGCTAATGAGAGGGTGTCAATTATGCAAGAGTAGGCGGATCGTGTGTGACGCGCTTGAGCGTTTGCCTGCGCATGCGGATTAGTCAAGGGGACTGATTATTATCTTACACTTTTTCATAGGGTTAGTTTTGTAGTTATAATCATGAGAGAGCTAAATCATAAAAGATTTTAAGTGGCCAATGTAAAATATGAATGCTTACATAGCTCTTATTTGCAATACTGAACCGTTATTTGCTTAATAGACATACTTTTGTCGCCTGTATTTTCTGTTCTGATAACTAATGGGAAAAACGGTCTGTTCCTCGATTAAACCACTTCATACCAGACCAGTCATCTCACGATGACCACGGGATACTGATATTACAGTTGTCTCTAGCTGGAGACTCAATCGGGTTACAAAAAATGACGTCAGGAAACGACACTGGCCATTTCTTTGGGTCGTTTGTACAGTCACAGATACTGTACGGACAATACAGCTCAGTTTTTTATGTATCTTGCTCTGTTAAACAGAAAAAGTGACTTTACGTAGGTCATACTGGATTTACACCATGCATCTCCTGTCAGCGGGAAAGCCGTGCCCCCAGCTATCACATGACCCCGACCAAGTCCATGGTTGACACCCTCTCATTAGCATGTTG